GAGCTAAAAACTGAGGAGATACAAACAGCGAGGAAGTCAACTTCAGAGGCGAGGACGCCCACACCAGAGTGAGGAGAGTGCGTGAGAAAGTAGGACACACACACACACACACACAGTCTCTCTCTCCTGCAGAATGAGTAATTACACTTAATGGAGGCAACACAGCCTCCAACTTTTTCAGTGACTCAGCCTAATCAGACGTTAGTGGTCCATGTAATCTGGGCCAAACTAATCAACCAGCAACACTACCAATCATTCGGGAGTTGAACACTTGACTCCACAGCCTGGCAGGATGATCAACCGCAGATTAACATGGGTTTCTGTACCTCACATTTACCACTGATTAAGCTGCATGTAGGAGCAATTCCCATCAAGCTCCATACAATGAGAATTGATTGAGATCATATTGGGCTGGGTGTTCCTGGGCTGCATTATATTCAGAGATTGTTCCTAATATTCTGGCCTCCTCATGTATGAGAGCTTTAGTTACACCTTTCTTGATATTTTCATACTTTCAAATTCACAAATTAAAATGGCTGTTCTCAATATTCTTATAATAATTTACCAAACCATAGTGTGGGAAGTGTCTGTGGTAGAATCATCAACCTTCAGCTTCATGGAGCTCTACCACAACTTCACTGTTCTAGTTCACTCTCATGGTATCACAGTAGGAAGCAGCTGTTTTCAGAGGAGAAGCTGTAAAAAGCCTCTGTCCACTACCTGCCCGGCAGCAGACAGACACAGCTAGAGACTCTCTCATGAACTGGCGTTTTTCCCATCAGCATGCTTTGAAACAATGAGCTGGGTCAGCACGCAGTGGCCTCAGTCAGCCCTGTTGAAGCTCCACCTTCACCAGATCCGACACACATGACTGGCTGAAACGCTGGCTGAGAGAAGGCCCTTACATTCAGCGTTGACTTTTTATCTGTAATTTCAGTGCAGTGAAATTTGGTCTTTTGATGAGGGGCTGAAATAATCCTTAGCGCCCAGGGCTCCACATTACAAGCGATTAACGCCACAGACAACATGTGAATTCATTTATTTTATCATTCCTCAGTCCTCGCTCGACCCGGAAGTCATTCTGGTCTGCTGTGACCAAGGACATGCCAAAGCTCATATTTCTGCTCTGGCAAGCAAGGAGACTGCCTCGAGGAGTTACGACCATGACCACATCCTTCGTGGGAGTCTGTTACAGACTGACACGCCCCCTTTAATGGAAATCAGTTTGGGATTGGACAATTCACATGAAGGATCAGAAGAAAGGACATCTCATGTTGGTTAAAACACATTTCCGTGGGACTAAGACGCAAGGTAAAGATGCAAATGAAGGAAACATGGACGCAGTTAGTGAAAAAGGGATTCACCACGAGTTATGTGTCACTTCTCTGTGACTTGCACCATCTCCGCTTGATAAAGATGTAGAATAAAAATATGCTTTTTACAGTGCACTGGAAACACATACGTGTTAACTTGAGAAAAGCTCAGTACAGCTCTGCCGTGCACACCTCGGCTTGGCAGGAATGGTCAAAAAACACTGACAGTGGAACGTTTAGCAGCTGAAGAGCCAGAGATTTCCCTCAGGAGGTGGGGGAGACCAAAAACAGAGTTAAAAGAAAGTGAAAGCTGACCTGAAATTCATCAGGTGGACGCAGACACCACCTCACATGAATGATGTGTAAATAAGCAGCTTTTTCAACATATGAACTAGAAGCGCCCTCCAGGTGTGGTCAGTACACGGTGACATCACTGTGCTGGGTGTGGCCAGAGTTGAGACTTTCAAACAGAAGGGCTGGTGTTAAGTTACTCTTTAAGGATGCTCTGGAAACATTGCTCTCCAAAAAAGCCCTGGTGGCTGCAAACTCAATAAAAGAGTGAGTTAACGTCTGCATTCTTGGAATTCTCTCCCCTGTAATATTGATGCATGTATCAAATGACTGCTGCTGACAGAAGCAGGGAGAACGATGAGTGTTAAGAAAAGGGAGTCAAGTAAATATATACACCCCATAAGCTGAAGAAACATACTGTCGTACACAGCCTGGGGAAAAAAAACAGGAGCAGGTTGAAAGAGAATAGATTCAACACGTGTAACTGAAAGCTGAATAAACTGTAAACAGAGTCACACACCTGTGCTTTCTGACAGATGGAGAATGAGCTCCGAGTGCTGTGATGCGATTTGCAGCCTGGTGTGCCTTTGCTGGCAGATATTTCATGATAGCTTATTAGACTCCAAGTCTTTTAAATCAACGAAAACACCCTCGCTCATACAGAGGGAGGAGAGGACCCTTGTAAATCAGGTCGGCTCTGTGCTTCTTATCGGAGACATGCCAGCCATGAGAGCAGGGCGGTGCAGTGAGCTCAGCTCGCTTCCCTTTTAATGACTCGCATGGAGCTGCTGCCTCATTGAGCAGCGGCGAGGAGGCAAGCGGCTTCCAGGTTGAGCTAAGAACAGCATCACAATGTGCAATTAATGATGAAGCATTATGAAACTGCACTGTATGCTCAACTAATATTTGAACATCAATCTCACAGTTACATAACCTTCATAACTTTGTCACGGCTGAACTGGTTCGACTGGTTATATGTTGACCAGTTTCTAAAAATACCTGTGTCAATGGCCCAACAAGGACACTGATGTGTTAAACTCTCTCCATATTTACAATAGACCTGAGTAATGCCACAGTAATGCTCACTTTGCTGGGAAGGCTTTGAAACTCACTTTTCTGAAAATAAAATCCTTTTAACTGGGTTGTATGTACAGTGAATGATGGTTGGAACTTTTTCTGGCACAAATTTGGATGAATATCATGTTCACTGATCTGTCACTGTAACTTTTAAGTGGAAGATCATGGCAAATAGTTTGCAACTCAGATTTCTCCACCATGTTTTATATCTATAAATAAGGTTTGGAGTTGGTATGTGGAGGGTGTTGAACTCTAAAATAAAGTGTCTTTAATACATTTCCTTGCTGCAAGCAAACGTTTCTCTACAAGTTTTTGATCCAACAAAGTGAGACAAAGCAGTGTCTGTGTTCAGTGTTGCCTTTACACAAGTAATAAAGAATAAAGCTGGTAAAAATGTTGCTTTAAAGGAGCAGAGTGTAAAATTTAGAAGGATTTATTAGCAGAAACAGACTACAGTATGCATAATTATGTTTTCATTAAAGTGTTATCACCAAAAGTCGTTGCACTTTGATCTTAGAATGATTTTTTGTTTGACAGCTTTAGCCAGAACATGGCCAGTGCTGGTAACCCACCGTGGTCAAGTGAGCTGCCGTTAGCTTTAGCTTGGTCAAATCAGCCACACTCGTTTTGTGAGTGCACCGTTTGTCCTACATTTACAGTAATCGCTGTGAAATGGCCAGGAGGGCTGTTTGACTCTGAGAGCTTTGCTAAATCTCATACCCTGCACCTTTAAATCTGACAATAATTGATCAAGAAAGTAGAACACATAAGCAGGTATTTGGTACGACAGCTCTGAAAACGGACTTTCATGGACACAATTTCAATTGTACTTGACTATCCATCCATTTATCCATTCTTTTCTGCTTATCAGAGATCGGGTCACAGTGGCACCAGGTTCAGCAAGGTACTTCAAACTAGCATAACAAATACATCATTGTCTGAGCTCTCACGGCTCACTCATGATTCTGAATGTTGGACCTGGAATGTCAAGCAAAAGCTTACTGGCAACATGCAGTCTGACCACGAAGCCACAGACAAAAGACAGACTGGTGGATCTTTGTGCACCTACAGTAAGGCAACCTGCACTACAGTAAACACTGGTGACAGGCTTTGCCATTTGGAGAACAGAAGACACTTTGTTTTTGTGAGAGGTGCTCTCCCTGTAAATAGGCAAATTTAAGGCCTTAGAAAAGAAAACTCCTAATCCAATACCAAACCCCTAATGGCTTGAAAAGTGACTCAGAGCAGAGTGGCCATCAGGAGAACCAGGACCGATTCACAGCTTAGGGCCAAAGTGAGAGAGCAAGCAGCAGAGCGAGCATGGTCCACAGCTCCCAGTGAGTCAGCTACCAATGCCAGTCAACCACTGTTGGATGGAGAAGTTGTGATGACCATGGTGAGAAACATCTGCTTTGTTCTAAACAGTCTTTGCAGCATAGAAAAATGCATTTCTTCCATGTCAGATGTGCATAGCTTTGCAAATGGCATCTTATTTAGCTTTAACTGGCATTAAAAGATTCCTCTGAACACAACTCTGATCAGCTACTGGCAGGGTTTAAAATGCAACAGCCTATTGTTACTAGTCTTAAAGAGTCTTTGTTTTCTGCTAGCCAACATTTCCAAAAGGAACACCTTATCTCAAACACATTATGCAGCAATGTGACAGTTGCTGTTAGGGTGTAGCCCACAAAATACTCACTGGTTTTTAATTGGGGATTAATTAGTTGGGTTTTTTTTCCTGTAAGCCAAATATGCAAAGAAGACTCATCCCATCAATTTTTCTCTGTGAATCGCTCCTTCACAGCCTCTGTGTTGCTGCTCAGACTGTGTGGTTAATCCACTGTGGCGTGGAAAAGGCTTTACACACACACACACACACACACACACACACACACACACACACAC